AGCAGCAGCAGCAGCAGGAGCAGCTGCTGCAGCAGGCGCTGCAGCAGAAGCTGCAGCCGCTGCCGAGGCGAGTGCGCCCCCCTGATGTTGTTAACCTCGTCTGGGAGCTGCCAGTTGTTGTCACCCCGGGGGACTGGGTGCAGCAGCAGCTGCAGCCGCAGCAGCAGCAGCAGCAGCAGCAGGAAGAATGGTGGCTGGGGGACCTTCAGAGACGCTCCAGCGGGGTGTCTGCGCTGCTGGGCTGCGCTGCTTCTCGCGCCCGCCGCGAGCTGCTGCTCTAAACCCTAAACCCTAAACCCTAAACCCTAGGTCTCAAGCGGGCAGAAACCCTAAACCCTAAACCCTAAATCCTCGCGAGCGCTAAAGGCTCAAAGCCTCCGCTGCGGTGTATAGGCACCTTCGAGTAATTGGGGTGTACAGACACCTCAAGTGCGTTGGGGTGTATAGACACCTTGTAGCTGAATAGGAACTTTTCCTCAGCGGTGTACAGACGCAAGACCTAGGGTTTAGGGTTTAGGGTTTGCTCCCTCTGGGGTTCAGGAGAACTTAGGGTTTAGGGTTTACGTCGGCGAGAGTCAGCCGCCGCCCCAACAGCTCAAGGCAGCAGCAGCAACAGCAGCAGCAGTGCTAGCACCAGCAGCGGCAGCTGCTGCTGCTGCTTCTTTGCTGCTGCAGCTACAGCTAGCCATGCTATTGTTTTTGCTGCCGCTGCTGCGGCTGCTAGCACTGCTATTGCTGCTGCTGCTTCTGCTGCTGTTGCTGCTTCTGCTGCTACTGCTGTTGCTGCTGCTGCTGCAGCAAACTGGCTCATGACGAGTCCAAAGGGTGCATTTTGTTTTCGAGGAAGAAAGGATGGCGGTTTATGCTTTGGAGCCAATCAGTCCATCTGCAAAAAAAATTAAAAAATAAATAAAAATAAAAAAGAATAAAAAGAATAAAAAGAAATTAAAGGAGATTAAAGGAGATTAAAAGAAGATAAAAGAATTTAGAAGGAAATAAAAGGAAATATAAAAAGAAAAAAAGGAGAAAAAGAAGCAAAAAGAGCAGCAGCAGCGAAGAGAGATAAAGAGACAAAGAGCAGCAGCAGCAAAAACAGACCAGGGGACGCAAAAAGCAGCAGCAGCAAAGTGAGGCAAACGCAGCAGCAGCAGCAAAAAGCGGCGAAAGCAGCAGCAGCAGCAACAAGAGGCAGAGGCAGCAGCACCAGCAAAAAGAGGCAAAAGCAGCAGCAGCAGCAGCAGCAAGCAGCAACTGCTGTTTGAGGGCTGGCTGCGGTGTACGTACACCGGAGTGCTGAGGGAAGCAGCAATGGAAGGATAAATTTTATTCATTTTAAAATTATTTATTTTTTCGGAAATAGAATTAAAGTCCACTGCCGGCAAACCCGCCAAACGCGCCCGCCCGCTGTTGTACGCGTCGTAGCAAGGCTGCAGCAGCAGCAGCAGCAGCAGCAGCAGTAGCAGCAGCAGCAGCGGCAGCAGCAGCAATGAGAATGTAGCACTAAGGACACTCCTGAGGCTTTGAGTGCGCGCTGCCGGGACTTCGCTGCAGTTTTCTACCACGCGTCACAGGCGCTGGCAAGGGTTTAGGGTTTAGGGTTTAGGGTTTAGGGTTTAGGGTTTACCTGCAGCAGCAGCAGCCCCTCAGCTGGCGCTGTGTGGAGGAAAACGTTCGCCTTAGAAGTGGCCAGCCGAAAGGCAGCAACGGGGGCCGTGCGGCGGCAAATCTCTATCGCCAATCCTAAACCACAAACCCTAAACCCTAAACCCACAAACCCTAAACCCTAAACCCTAGGTCCTAAACCCTGGCGCAAAGGCCGCAAGGAACAAATGCCATTCGTCTGCAGCGCTGATCTCGCACCAAACACTAGACGCGCGAAAACACCGCAAACCGCGTCCCCAAACCCTAAACCCTAAACCCCAAACCCTAAACCCTAAACCCTAAACCCTAGAGCACCCATCATTTTGCGAATTTGGTTGTAAAGAAAAGACTGGCCCTCCAGGCGCACCACAGCCACCGGCTCGTCGCAGCCAGGCAGCTTCCCGAGTTTCACCTGAGACAAATGCAACTCCAAACCCTAAACCCTAAACCCTAAACCCTAAACCCTAGAGCTGCAGCTGAGCCTCTCGCCGGTGAACTGCAAGTGAAGGAAAAGAGCTGGGACTCAGGGTTTAGGGTTTAGCGGCTCAGCCTCGTCTCTGCGTCGCTGCGCAGCCGGAAAACGGTATAGCCCCTGCTGCTCCCTAGAGATTAGGGTTTAGGGTTTAGGGTTTAGGGTTTAGGGTTTGGAGTACTGTGGCGGAGTGGATGTGCCGCTTGAAGGCCGCAATACTCTTTTCTTTGTTTTTACTTCTTCTTGTGAAGTTTCGGTAGCAGAAAGTGCCCTCGTAAAGCCGCAGCACTTTGCCCAGACGCTCCTAAACCAGAAACCCTAAACCCTAAACCCTAAAGCCTAAACCCTAAACCCTTGTAAAGCCGCTTTGCCCAGCCGGTCTTAAACCACAAACCCTAAACCCTAAACCCTAAGCCCTACGCCCTAGACCCTCGTGAAGCCGCAGTGTTTTGCCCGGCCGGTCTTAGACCACAAACCCTAAACCCTAAACCCTCGTACAGCCGCAGCGTTTTGCCCAGCCGGTCCTAAGCCGCGAACCCTAAACCCTAAACCCTCAACCCTAGCCAAGACGCACAAACTCTACACCGCGCGTCTTCCAGTTCGAGCAGGTCTTTGCTGCCTCCTGGACCCCCAGAAATTAGGTTCTAGGGTTTAGGGTTTAGGGTTTAGGGTTTAGGGTTTACTATGAGTTCTTCGTCCGTGAGCCGCTTCGGAGTGTCCGGATAGAAAGAAGCGAGCTCAGGAGGCACTTCGTTGCAGACAGGCAGCGCGTCAGCTGGAACATCTGCTGCTGCTGCTGCTGCTGCTGCTGCTGCTGCTGCTGCG